ATAAATATTAACTCATCTCACTCTCTGACAAAAACAAAGACTTAATCATTATCATTGTCCTTTTTACTCACATGAAACAATTGTTGCATAGGGAGGTGAATCAATTTTGCCTAAAAGAACACAGCTAATAGTGCTACAGACTAGAATTAAACTCAGACAGCCTGGCTCAAGACAACAACGACTATATTGTCTGTCTTCTCTAATGGTCGCTGAGGAGGTGGTAAACGACACAGAGATGTTTGCATTTTTAATTAAATCTGCCATTTATTTTTCTAATGAATTAAATTATTTTTTATATGCACATAAATGTACCTCCTGGTAAATGAAAGGTTTACTTCCTTCAGGGAACCACGTTGTGTTTAGATTATGCAGTTTATCCAAAACTGCCTTCATGTCTCCAGGCCACATGTGCTTAGAAGCATCAATTCTGAACCCTGCTACGCCAAGGTCAATGAGATGGTTCAGATACTCAGCAATCTTGGACCGCACATAATCTTTCTCCAGGGCAAGATCAAGAAGACCAGACAGACGACAATCTCTGACCTAATGAGATAAAAATTTTTTTGTGATTTACAAAGAAAACATCAGCTTACCTGAGAATCCACTTGATTATTCATTCATTTATTCTTTAATAGATATTTCTGTAGTGCCTTTGCATTGGGCACTGGGGATATTGATATTCTAATATGGACATACTTTTGAAATATTTTCTATTATAATAATGAAGAATATAGGAAAAGTGAATGAGCTTTATAATTGGGAAAAAATTAAATTGGGGAAAATGTTAAATATTGGTTTGAGTTTCTTATTTTTAAGCAGTCAGACTTGGAATCCTGCTCTCCTAAGGAATCTAAGCTAGTATTTAAATGAAGATCAATAAGACAACAAATATATTAAAAATTAACATATTTATTAAATATATTTAATGAATATATTAAAGACATAGACAGCTCTTTATTCAGACCACTTTGCTTCAGATCCTTACCTGATAAGGATCATTGTAATTCTCAATGTCTCCACTTCCAGTTCTACATTTACCATCATTAAAATCCCAACCAGAAAATGGAACTGCTGGAAAATCCCTCTTTCCAGGGTTGAAGTAACTTCCACAAGTACTGCTGGTTCCTGCAGTCACACCATTTCCACACATATGATTAATTACAGCATCCACATAAATATGAACCTGAAAGACAAAGTTTCTATTTGTTTGATTTATAGAAAGGTGCAAATCTATATTACTGATTAAAGTTTACAGCATGTTAATAACACTTCAAAATATTTCTCTTTTATTGTATAACTTATCTTCTAAGCAGAGCAAAAGTAAAGTGTGAAAGGAAATGAAGGTGAACTGAAGACCTACATGCATTCTAGCCATGTGGTCAATATTTACATATATGACAAACTGATAGAACCAAAATCTATCATAACTGTGAAAAAAATGCAAAGGGCCTTTTTTGGGGGAAGGTAAGAATCAGCTGAGGCAGGAGAGACTGTTTTTTTAAATTGCCACAGATCTTCCTAAGAAAGCAGCCAGCTTCTACTGTCTACTTAGCACCTGAAGAGAGGAAAGTAAATACTGTCTCTCATTATTCTCATCAAAGAGATTACATACATCTCTTTACCATAAAAATTAAAATTAAATAAAAGCCTGTGGGGAAGAAGACCCAGGAATTATGGGTGGAGATACAAGTCACATAAAAATGACCACAAATGTTGTAACTGGAATGTCTAATTCCTAACTAGAAAAGTATTCCCCAGAAATGTGTATAGTTATAAGGGTTAAAAATCGATATATGTTTTATAAGATGGCTTTAAACTTTAACTTACAACCTTCTTTAGTAGATAAAATAATACATATACAAAGATTTACACAAGTTGAATATAAGGCAACAACTAGATTTTAGTTAAAGTATAAAGTAAAATAAAAAATAAAAAAATATGGAAAATGTTCTGCTTAAAAGGAACGAGA